CTTCTAGTTGTAGAATTTCCACTCAGCCAGCCTTCCTGTGGTTCTGGATGATGTCCGTTCCGTCTTTTAGGTGTATTTTTGAAGTGATTGTGCGAGGCAGCAATCTCCGGTGTTTACCTATGCTGCCATCTTGGTTTCTCTAACGTTTATTTCTGTAGGTTGTTTGCATACCACAGTGTGTTAGTAAGTAATGTTTAAGTAACAGTAAAAAAGCAATATAAAATAAGCAGAATTCCTAATTTAGTAGCCCTTGCCTATAAATACACTTTTTAGATAGGCTCTAGATTAGTGATGGCGAACCTATGACACGTGTGTCAGAGGTGACACGTGAACTCATTTTTTTGGTTGATTTTTATTTGTTAAATATAAGTCTTTGTTTTACTATGGTTGCAAATATCAAAAAATTTCTATATGTGACACGGCACCAGAGTTAAGTTAGGGTTTTTCAAAATGCTGACACGCCGAGCTCAAAAGGTTCGCCATCACTGCTCTAGATCCTGTTATCTATTAACTTATAACGGTGCTAAATTGCTCACATAAATACATAAATAAACAAGTGCGAAGTAACCTGGCTGTGTGCTCATTAACTGTTAATCTAGGGCAGTGATGGCGAACCTTTTGAGCTCGGCGTGTCAGCATTTTGAAAAACCCTAACTTAACTCTGGTGCCGTGTCACATACAGAAATTTTTTGATATTTGCAACCATAGTAAAACAAAGACTTATATTTTTGATATTTATTTTATATATTTAAATGCCATTTAACAAAGAAAAATCAACCAAAAAAAAGGAGTTTGCGTGTCACCTCTGACACACGTGTCATAGGTTCGCCATCACTGCACGCGTGTCACCTCTGACACGCGTGTCATAGGTTCGCCATCACTGCTTTAGATATTGGAAGAGGACACTCCTTCAAATAACTGAGCTGTGGAGGTTAGATTTGTTTTTGTGTGTGTGGGGGGGTGATGATTGTATAATTTGAAGGGGAAAAAAAATCAGGCCATTGTGATAGGTCTCAGAGTAGGGGAAGGAGACAACTGACCCTGTCGTGTAGTCAAAACTCTCTAGCTCTGTCAGAGCTGTGATCATCTATCCCAGGGTTTTGTCATTTGTCAGTGATGCCAAGATGCTAATTGTGAGAAAGTATGGAGTTTGTTCTTCATGATATTCTTTGTTTAAGGATAGCTCAAAAAATGTTGCTTTTATTTTTTTCAATAATCCATCACTATGACTTAAAAGTCATTTTATTTATATCTCTTAAGAATAGTGTTTGCTAATTTTATTTATTTATTTTTTAAAATATATTTTTATTTCAGAGAGGAAGTGAGAGGGAGAGAGAGATAGCAACATCAATGATGAGAGAGAATTGATTGGCTGCCTCCTGCATGCCTCCTACTAGGGATTGAGCCTGCAACCCAGGCATGTGCCCTTGACTGGACCCGAACCCAAGACCCTTCAGTGCACAGGCCAACACTCTATCCACTGAGTTAAACCCCTAGGGCAGTGGTCGGCAAACTCATTAGTCAACAGAGCCAAATATCAACAGTACAACGATTGAAATTTCATTTGTGAGCGAAATTTTTTAAACTTAAACTATATAGGTAGGTACATTGTTATTTACTTAATTAGGGTACTCCTAAGGCTTAGGAAGAGCCACACTCAAGGGGCCAAAAAGCCGCATGTGGCTCACGAGCCGCAGTTTGCCGACCATGGCCCTAGGGCTATTTGCTGATTTTATAATGTAAACAAGGTCCCAGTGCACGAATTCGTGCACCTTGAAAGGAACTGTGGTCCGCGAGCCTGCGGTAGGCACAGGGGCGGGTCTCGGCCCATCCTCTGCACCCCCGTCCAGCCCCTCACGCCGTGGTCCCTGGTCCTCTGTCTGCTGGCAGCCCCGCTCCTGCTGCCTCTGCTCCCACGCGTTGACAGCACTGGCCCTGCTTGCACCCACTGACGGCGCGGAGTGATTGGGGCCGGCACCACAGTGGGTGCAAGCAGGGCTGGCACCATCAGTGGGTGCAAATGGTGGTTGCTACCCTGATCACCCCTCAGGAGCAGGGGAAGGTGGAGAAGCCCTCAGGGTGATCAGGGCCTGCAGCTGTCACTTGCACCGAGTGATCGGGACCGGCGCCAGTCACTGGCAGCAGGTGTGAGTGGTGGCTCCAGCACCGGCTCCAGGGTCGGCTGCAGGTGCGAGTGGGGCCGGCGCCAGCAGTGGGTGCGAGTGGGGCTGGCGCTGGCAGCAAGTGCAAGTGCCGGGCGGGACCATGGTGTGTGGGAGCAAAGAATTTTCAGTAACCACCAGAGGCTCGCTGCAATGACAGCGAGCCTTGGTCTGGCACCCCCGCTCACTTGCTCCACCATCCCACTGTGTCCGACACCCGCCATGTTCTGCGCACGCCCCCTGGTGGCCAGTGCACATCATACTGACCGGTTGTTTGGTTGTTTTGGTTGTTCCGCCGTTAGGTATATTTGCATATTAGCCTTCTATTATATAGGATGAAATTTTTTCTCCATAGTTTTTTTCAAAACGGATTGCTACCAGTATATAGGGTTTTAAGTAATTTGTACATTAAAAAAAAAAAATCCTTGCTTTTACCATACCTTTGATTACTATAGACTTGCACTAACTGCTGAGTTTTATCCTTCCTCTTTCTGGATAACCTGTATTGTACCTCCTTTCTGCTAGCCTTTTAGGGAGGCATAGTATTTGCCTTAAAAAAAAAATCTCAAAGATTTTTATCATTTAGACAAACTAAGAACTCAAATTTAAAGTCTGTATATCTTTGACTATACAAGGCTAGAGACTAAGGTCAAAACTTTTTCTGGGAGTTCTAAAAGTGAGACAATACTGCTTATCTTTGAGCAGCTTTGGTTACAAAACATAACTATTAAATTTCTAGAGTGGGGCCTCAAGATTTTAAGTAAAAGTATAAAGAAACAATTTTATCTTAGTGTTTTCGTGTTTTTCTTTTCAAACCACATTAAAAATGTGACTAAGAGGTAGGTGTTTTAGGGTTCTATAGTTATCCCAAAACAAGTCTATAATGTACCTGATCACCTTAGAAAATCTAAAGATGAATTAGTTTTTATATATCAGGTGAAACTACATGCTTAACTGATTTTAAGACAACGTTTTCTTGTCCTTATTGAGTGTACACATTATTCAATATTACTCATTTGCAGAGTCCTCAGTTATCTTAGGGTGAGATATAAGAAATAACTTAGAAAAGTGTTTCAACAAATTTGAAAATAAAACTTTTATGATGCACTATCAAACAGTTTAGATAGTTTTTACATTTATTGTAGCTTTCTATATGTGAACTAATCTGAATTTATTTTATTTTAGGACAAGGTTGGTACATCTGTAATAATAAACAATAAATTGGCTTATAATGAACCAGTTGAAATGCCTAAGGACAACAAAAGTAAAACTTATTCAGGAAGAAAAAGATTAAACGAAAATGAATTTCAGCAAGATGAGCCACCAGCTAAGAAAGGTACTGCTTCATTTGCCAACAAGAGGCCTTTAAGAAAGCTAATTCCTAAACCAGTAAGCAGAACAGATGCAAATGGAGGAAATTTACTTGTCTAGGGAAAAAACCCTGAAGAAATCTAAATGTCACTAATGTTTATGCTAACATGTTATGAACCTGAGGATGGGTGTATTTAAAGCTCTTTTATTATAATAAATATATTTTTAGATATTGTGCTTTTATCACTTTTGCATGCCTGTAATTCTTTTACTTCTCTGCTTATAATAGTTAAAACATATCACTTTCATTTTCATGATGATAGTACCTTTTTTTCACCCAAATCTTTCCACATTGCTTTCTACCTTTGCATTTTTTTATTCATTTGGAGAAAAGGAAATCTGACAGGAAGACTTTGAACTAAATACTACTAAAGACAAATGTGCTCGAGAATTAATTCTGTTACTATAGAATTTATTTTAAAAAAAAGTGGGTACATGCTTACTCTCTACCTGTATATGTGGAAGAACATACCAGCATTTACATTCTTTGTAAACTGTTCATTATTTCTTTTGGAAAACTTTTGTAGTATGATACAGGGTGGTAGGGCTTTCTCAGAGAAAGTGCATTAGCTTTAGAAACCTGGCTAGCTGCTTCACCTTGAGAAAAATGGATGAGTTAAGTCTTAACTTTGGACATAAGTTAAATAAAATATACAGTACTTGCCTCCTGAGGTTGTCAAGGTTGAAAACAGGTGGGTAATACACCAACATACTAAACACCTCACAGAACCTCAGTAAAATGAATGTTTTCAAAAGTAGGTGCCTTAAGGATAATACAGCATTAGGTAAATGTTTTGTAGGATATATTATGCTTGTGTGAGCTAATAGATTGAGACAAATATGCATATGCCTTCTGTCATCCATTGAAGGAGGTGTGCTTTGCTACTGGGAGGATAACCTTGCTGTGATTTCCATTGCATTCTTCCTCTCTTTCATTCATCTTTGTCAGTGTCGTAGACTAGTTGAGAATGTAGATAACTAGGAATTGGCCAGGAGCCAGTGTTATACACAGATGATAGTCCTAAAGATAACTCATTCATGAAGAAGATTATTTAAGAACTATAGCTAAATAATTTGGATGTGAGTAGATTTGAGTAAGTTTAGCTAACATAACAAATTTTTATTACTTCTTAAAATCACAACCACTTTGGCTATTTCTCCATTACTTATGTTATTAAAAAATATAGGGATTACATAAGGGATCACATAAAAACTATAGATATAACCACCCTCTTTCCTCTCCACCTGCTACTAAAAGATATCCAGAACAAATATGTGACTATTATAACTACTAGGATAGAAGGAGGTTGATAGTTCCATGGGAAGCATGTTTTCTGTTCTTAAAAGGAAATGCAGAGAAGATTTGACTTTGGGTGATGTGCAATATACAGATCTTTTAACATAGAAACCCACACCTGAAACTTACATGTTCATGTTGACCAATGTCACCCCAATTAATTTAATAAGTGTGTGTGATTTTTTTTTAAAGGGAATACAAAGCCTTTTCTCTATGAAAGTGAATTTACTTTTTGAGATCACTGTATCCATACTTGGGGGAAACTGGTAACCAAACAGTCCAAAAAATAATTTTCAGATAGTGATAAAGGAGACAAACCAGAGATATGATACAGTCAATTTAGGATTTTTCAATCAAAACTAACTTTTTACAACGAAAAGAAGTAATCCATGTGAATATAAGTTGCATGTAGTGTAAATATTGAATTAAAGTGTTAACTGTATTCCTTTCTTTTTGTTTACTTTTTAAAAGTAAACTAGATACAGTAGAGTTTTTCCTATCTTTATTGCTGGATTTATTTTAATTTCTACCTCACAAGGCTGTCCTGAATATGTTCTATAAATCTTTTGACATACCAGTAAAACTTTTTAAATTTTTTGAAAAAATAGTACAAATATCTAAAAAAAATCAGATAAAAATATTTTGGTTTGATTTACCTTGTATTTTGTATTATATTTTGGTTCTTTTTTAATTAAATTTTTTTGCCATTTCAGTTGACATATAATTATTATATTAGTTTCAGGTGTACAACATAGTGGTTGGACATTTATATAACTTAGGAAGTGATCACACTATGTATCCTGGTTCTTGAAATATAGTGAAATTATAGGAACAATATTACTTGGTAACAGGAGCTTTCTGTATTCACTTCAGGGTATAGGGACTACATGTATATAGTGTGCATGACTCCAATCTCTTCCCTCAGGATAGTCAGGATGTATTTGTGAGCTCGGGATTTCTGTTTGTTGTCATTTTTAAGTTGCTTAGATCCCATCTCCATTCCTAATAAGAGTTCAGACATTTTTATATCTTGTCTTTTTAAAGGGTAAGAGGATTTTTTAAAAAAACATGTCTATTATGAGAAAAAAAATCATCCAGGACTCTTAACATCATCATTTGGTTTTCTCAATTAGTTATTTCCATTGATGAATTCATAGGTATGAAAATATTATCAAATAGAGAATTAGGTTGCATGGAAAGTAGAACAGAGTGAACCAGTGGAGAAGACCAGGTTATTTCACTTTGGGATGACTTGCCACAGCTTTATAAGATGCTGGGAGATCTAATGAAAAACAATACATTGGTTCAAGATTATTATTAAAAATCTATTAGATTTAGTGGGCAGCTTTGTTGTAAAAGTAAATAAGGCCAAATCTTGAAGATTTCAGAGTAGCTGGAATTCTTAGAATAAACCGAGAATCCAAGGAAGTGAGGCTATACAACGGGTAATTCCATGCTTCCGCTCTTCTCTCTGAGGCAGGAGACAGCCATGTAAATTATTGATAATAAAATTTTGTCCAATGAACTTTTTAAAAATATATATTTTATTGATTTTTTTACAGAGAGGAAGGGAGAGAGATAGAGAGTTAGAAACATCGATGAGAGAGAAACATTGATCAGCTGCCCCCTCCTGCACACCTCCCACTGGGGATATGCCCGCAACCAAGGTACATGCCCTTGACCGGAATTGAACCCGGGACCCCTCAGTCCGCAGGCCGATGCTCTATCCACTGAGCCAAACCAGTTATGGCTGTCCAATGAACTTTTACAATCAGCCTGTATTTAAGAAAAGAGATCTTGGGATCCCATAAATGGGATCACACAATTACAGCTGCCCCAAAGCATTTAGACAGTTGGTGAAGGAAAAGAATATGGGTTGTATTTGTAAAGTAAAAACACCAGCCAGGGCTAAAATATACTTTTTTTATTCATTGCACTGAAAGTAATAGGTTTTTTAACGAGTAGGATTTCAAGCCAACCCCCCACCCTCCAAAAACTGTCTTGCTTTTTTGGAATAGTATTGCTTGTATTTCATATTATATCTGGGACCTTTAAGCCTGAGGAATATGAATCTTACATGCTTAGTGAGGACATTAAATAAAAACAGGTGAAATCAACAGTGAATAAAGGTCAAAAGGACATATGTAGTTGGTTATATCAGAGCAATGTTGTGTAGAAAGTTTAAACATCAAACCATGAAGTCAAACAGAAAAGGAAAAAATAAAATTGGAACCACAGAGTCAGATTCTTACATGTTTTGAAGTAATTTCCTAGGATTTGAGATAACCACCAGACCCTGATTATAGTAATGGAAGTTGTATGAAAACATATAAAGATAAATTTGTGGCCCTGGCTGGGTGGATCAGTTGGTGGAGCAATGTCCCGTACACCAAAAGGTTGCAGGTCTGATTACCCGTGAGGGCACATGCGTAGGTTGCAGATTTGATCCTCAGTTGGGGCACGTATGGGAGGTAACCTATCGATGTTTTTATTTCACATCAATGTCTGTCTGTCTCTCTCTCTCTCTCTCTCTCTCTCTTTCTCTTTCTCTCTCGTCCTCGCTTTCCCTCCCTTCTTCTCTCTCTAAAAATCAATGAAAATGGCCTCAGGGGAAGAAAAAAAAAGAAAATGGCCTCCGGTGAGGATTAAAATAAATGAAGGAAGGAAGGAAGGAATGAATAAATAAATAAATAAATATTGGATATATACATATATAAATTTATGTATCTAGAGGACTGAGAATTATGTTTCAAGATTTAATCTTACAATCTATGAGAAAAACTTGAACGTAATTTTTACTTGACAGTTGTATGAATGAGGTGAATTAACTTGTCAAAATGAACATTAAACGTAACTTTTAGCCCTAACCGGTTTGGCTCAGTGGATAGAGCGTCGGCCTGCGGACTGAAGGGTCCCAGGTTCGATTGCAGTCAAGGGCACATGCCCAGTTGTGGGTTTGATCCTCAGTAGGGGATGTGCAAGAGGCAGCCGATCAGTGATTCTCTCTCATTATTGATGTTTCTATCTCTCTCTCCCTCTCCTTTCCTCTCTGAAATTAATAAAAGATATATTAAAAAAAAAGATTTGTGGTGGGAAATTTAAATAATACTGAAAGTTATGAAATATGCTAACTCTTTCCATTATCTTACAGAACTGTAGTTTTTACATAAACGGGCTTAGTTTTTTCACGCAGTAGTTTGTGTTTTTCATTAAAAGTTTGCTTTCATGTTTCCTATGTTTGAATATTGGCTTATCTGTTTACTTTTTAGTTTAAGGTTTGCCAGATTAATAGCAATTTTCCTATTTTTAAAGGACCTGTACACATTAGTCCAACTGTCACTGAAGACCAAAAGAAAAGTGAAGAAATGCAAGAGAGCATTTCAGAAAATGAGGAAAACATTCGAGTTGTACAAGAAAATAATGATAATGAAGAGCTGAAAGCAAGATTACTCACTGTTGAGAATGAACTTAGAAATGAAAAGGAAGAAAAAGCAGAATTAAGTAAACAGATTGTTGCTTTGCAGCAGGAGCTTTCTTTTTCTAAGAAGGAGAGCTTTTCTTTAAGTATGGATGTCCAACAAATTCAGTCAACTTATGACAATGCAATTTCTGAATTACAGATGCAGAGAGGTATAAATCAAGAACAGGAGGAAAAGATCATGAAGTTGTCAGAGGAGATAGAAGTCGCTAGAAGAACCATTACTCATAATGTTTCACAAATAAAATTAATGCAAGCAAAAATAGATGAACTACGAACCCTTGATTCATTTTCTCAGATTTCAAGCATAGATTTACTCAATCTCCAGGATCTCTCACGTGGTTCTCAGGAGGATGATTTGCCAAATACAAAGTTACACCCTTTGGATAATGATTATTTGGTAAGTAAGCAGGTTAAACCTAATAGGGAAAGTTCTTTCCACTCTAGTATTGATGCCATTTGGGTAGAATGTAAGGAGATTGTAAAGGCCTCCTCCAAAAAAAGTCATCAGATCCAGGAACTGGAACAACAAATTGAAAAATTACAAGCAGAATTAAAATGCTGTGAGGATGATAACAAGAGACTAAAAACAGAAAATAAAAATCAAGATGACCTACTAAAAGGAAAAGAAAGTCTTATACAGCAGCTGAAGGAAGAATTGCAAGAAAAAAATGTTAGTCTCAATGTTCAAGTACAGCAAGTAGTTGAGGGAAAAAGAGCACTTTCAGAACTCACACAAGAGGTTGCCTGCTATAAAGTGAAAATAAATGAACTTGAAGCCATGTTAGGAACTCAGAAAGTTGAATGTAGTCATTCAACCAAGTTAGAACAAGAAATTTTGGAAAAAGCATCTATCATCTTGGAACTAGAAAAAAATCTAAAGGAATTTCAAGCAGATCATCAGGATTGTATCAAAAACATCAAAGATTTAAACGAAAGGGAAGTCAAGTTGAAAGAAGAAATCACACGGTTAGCAAATAATTGGGAAGATGCAAAGCATTCCCTTCAATTAAAGGAAGAAGAAAAAGAAACCAACTGGCAAGAGATGGAAAAGTAAGCTAAATGTTATTCAAATATTTATAATATGCAAAGCATTCATTGTATTGATTTTGTTATGTAGCTTTTAAGTAATTTAGGTGGCCATAACTTAATCTGGTGCAGTATAGCATTTGAGATGAGTGAAGACTTGGACTTTGTTTATATAAATCTTTGGAGCCAAGTTATATGCAAAGATCTTTTTATAGAATCTGAAATTTTCTTTAAAGGACTCATTCATGGTTTGGACATTCTAAATTTGTGAAAAGGTGTAATTTTGTAAATTGTTACTGTCTCACAAGTATGATACAAAGTGATTAATGGTGTGTCACTATATGAAAGTGGTTTGTGTTTTATAGATTGAAAGAGGAGCTCTCGGCAAGCTCTGCCCTTACCCAGAATCTGAAAGCAGATCTTCAGAGGAAGGAAGAAGATAATGCTGAGCTGAAAGAGAAACTGACTGATGCCAAAAAACAGATTAAGCAAGTACAGAAAGAGGTAGGCTCTTTGAAAGCTGTGCATTCAATTTAAATGGTAAAGATGGTTTTCCTTATATATCAATAAACCTTGGAAATGTGAGCCAATAATTTCTCCCTGGAATGTCTTTGTTGACTTTTCCATGATGATGATTTTGCTGTTGCATGCAAGATGCTATGTTGATTCTTTTTTGAGAACACTTACAAGTGTTTGAAATTCTTAAAATGTAAGAAGAAAATTATTTCTTCATATGCATTCTCCTTTAGAGTATTAGGAAATATCCTGATAATTTGAAGCCATATCTTATACTATGTTAGAATCTAATTTGTTAATGTTTTTAAAAATTTATCTTTATCGCCCTAACCGGTTTGGCTCAGTGGATAGAGCGTTTGCCTGCGGACTCAAGGGTTCCAAGTTCCGGTCAAGGGCATGTACCTTGGTTGTGAACTAGAAAAAAGTGGGGAGTGTGCAGGAGGCAGCTGATCGATGTTTCTCTCTCATCGATGTTTCTAACTCTCTATCCCTCTCCCTTCCTCTCTGTAAAAAATCAATAAAATATATTTTTTTAAAAATCAATAAAAAATATTTTTTAAAGAAATTTATCTTTATTGTTGAAAGTATTACAGATAAATCCCCCTTTCCCCCCAGTGGCCGCTTTAATGAGTTTTTAAGGACATGAATCTTTGAATCAGTGGCCATTAATTTTAAACAAAAAGCATTTAAAAAAAATTGGTTTTATAATCATTACTTTGTAGGTATCTCTAATGCGTGATGAGGAAAAATTACTGAGGATTAAAATGAATGAACTGGAGAAAAAGAAAAACCAGTGTTCTCAGGAAATGGATATGAAACAGCGAACCATTCAGCAACTCAAGGTATCAGTTTTTTTAAAGGGAGGTTTAATTAGAGTCCACGTATTTTAGTGTCTAAAAAAATCAGTTTTTTATAACAAATTCTCTTTTAGCCTTTTCTGTAATTGAAAAATTGGTTAAAATCAAATAAGGTCATAGTAATTTGCTTCTAATGACTAGAGTATGGGAAGGAAAAAATAGTAATTTTACAGTAAGGAAACCTGGCAGACAACACCTTAACTTTAACCAAGTGTTTAAGAATATAATCACCAGTGGTAAGCCATATTGGTAACATGTATTTCCTGATTTGATGTGACCAAAAGGGCACATCTTTTCTGTGGTATTCTTCCTCCAAATCCTTTAACTTAGTCTAATTGTGAGAAGACATCAGACAAGCCCAAACTGAGGATGTTCTACTAAATACCCGACCAGTAAAAAGTGGCAAAGTCATTAAAGTATTATTGAGACACTTATCACAGATGGGATACTAGTGAGACATGATGACTAAATGTGGCATTGTATCATGATTGGATTCTAGAACATTGTTGGAGAAACATGAAATCCAAATAAAGTCTTCAGTTTTGATAGTATTATACCAATGCTAATTTTTTTCCCCATACAAAAATAATTGTTTCCATTTTCGAGACTAAACTTCTCATTTGTTTGTGTCCAATGTTAGTTAATTTCTTGATTTTAAAATAATATACCATGGTAATAGAAGATGCTGAAATTAGGGGAAGCTAAGTGGAGGTTATACAGGAAATTTCTGGTATCTTTGCAATTCTTTTATAAAATCTAAAGTTATTTCAAAATCAAAAGTGAAAAGAAAAAGCTCAGGACCTGTAAAAAAAATTTTTTTAAGAGGACACTTAAGCATTTATAAAAAAAAATTTTTTTTTTTTTTTTTCAGATGATCAGCATAGTTGGGTTCTCTTTTTATCCTGTTTCCTAAATGGTTATATTTTACTTAACATCAATTAATTGGATAAAGCAGCAATAAAGAAAGGTTATTGTAGTCTTTACACATTTGCTTTTAAATGAAGCAAACTAATGAATATTCATATATAAACATGTGATTTAAATTTTTAACTGAATACCGTTTTAATAAAGCAATCTATACTTTCATAATACAATTCAGAGATATTTAGGTTCTGTAATGATTTATTCTAAGACTTATAACCTAAGAAGGTAGTGCTGAAGTTAGATGAGATAAGGAATGGGTTGGATTACTTAACAAGTTAAAACTGGAATTGGCCCGGCTGCGGTGGCTCAGTGGTTGAGCATTGACCTATGAATCAGGTGGTTACAGCTCAATTCCCGGTCAGGGCACATGCCTGGGTTGTGGGCTGGATCCCCAGTGTGGGGCGTACAGGAGGCAGCCACTCAATTATTTTCTCTCATCATTGATGTTTCCATCTCTCTCCCTCTTATTCTACCAATAAAAAAATATTAAAACAAAACTGGAATTGGAGGATTTTTAGTGCTAATAATTTAATCTTTGCCCTTAAGGCTTTGGTTATTCAAACCTTCCATCTACTTTCTACATAGAGGGGGTTGGAGGGTCCTATTTTTCTGCATTTTGAATTTACTGATATGGAACTTTTTAGTGGTTTTTCTTATTCCTCCTTTGTTAACTACATAGTGAACCTCCATTTCCCTGTTTTTGCTTTTTGTGGTGCATAAGAGAACACAATAACGTAAAATGTTAAGTAAAATGACTGGGCAGTAACTTTGAGGTAGATTAAAGGTATAAAATTTTTACTACTATTTTTTTCTTTTTCACTCTCACTCTGCTCTTTCCTCCAAGGTGTAAGAAACTTGGAAGCTCAAGACTAGTAGTCAGCTTTATAGGAGACAGATTTCAAACCTAATATTGAACCTTGTTTTCAGGCCCCACTATTAAATATTTTTGTGTGTTTATTATATTTGCATTTCATCCATATTCTTTCATTTTGCAGGAGCAGTTAAGTAACCAGAAAGTGGAAGAAACTATACAGCAGTATGAGAGAGTGTGCAAAGGTCAGGAACAAACCTCTACTTCTAATACTAAAATGATTGACAAAATAGTTGCAATACCAGTTTGTTTAAACATTTTCCTTTGAAAATTCTAAAGTAAACTAAGGGCAACATAGGCTGTAACACTGTCAAAAGAAAGCATTGATTGATTCTAATGAGTAACTTATCAGTATAAAGTTTATTCTTGAAAATTTGCCAAACCGGTTTAGCTCAGTGGATAGAGCGTCGGCCTGCGGACTGAAGGGTCCCAGGTTCGATTCCGGTCAAGGGCATGTACCTTGGTTGCGGGCACATCCCCAGTAGGGGTCGGGCAAGAGGCAGCTGATCGACCTCTCTCATCGATGTTTCTAACTCTCTATCCCTCTCTCTTCTTCTCTGTAAAAAATCAATAAAATATATTTAAAAAAAAAAGTTTATTCTTGAAAATTAAAACATTAAGAAATATTCAGTCAAAGGCACATTGATCTCTAGGAAATGGCCAGCATTTTGTGAAAAATAAAGTTTCATAGGTCACAATGAATTGAATAGATTTCTAGACAAAATCATGTAAACAATATACTTTAAGTAAAACAGCTTTAAAATTAAAAAAAAATTTATAAAGTTTAAAAGGAACATTTACAATTTTAGGTTCAAATTGTATGTGCTGAATTTTGCTTTTTTCAAACTCAAATTGTATTGATTTTTTTTATTTAGAATGTTTAAAAAATTTCTTTGTTGATAATTACATACAGTAGGTTTACATGTTCATATGGGGAAAGACATGCAGGGAATGATTATTATAATAGTTTTATTAACTCAAAAGAATGTCACAGGGCACAGTGCACTTAGGTACAGTCTCTTATGTGTTCAAATAGCTGGCCTTCATTATTTACACATTTTTTGTAGTCTACTTGCTGTATTCATGCACATTTTGGCACAGAGTTCTTACCTACTTTTGTCCATCCCTTAATTTCTGTAGGTAAAATTATGCAGATTCCTTTCTTCCCCATCACTTACTCATCTCTTAATAAAAAATTGCATTTTCAGCCTGGTAAGTGGTTGAGCGTCGACCTGTGAACCAGGAGGTCATGGTTCGATTCCTGGTGAGGGCACATGCTCAGGTTGTGAGCTCAATCCCCAGTAGGGGGTATGCAGGAGGCAGCCAATCAGTGACTCTCTCTCTGGTCATTAATGCTTCTATCTCTCTCTCCCTCTTCCTTCCTCTCTGAAATCAACAAAATTAAAAAAAAATTTGCATTTTCAGTTCTTGAGGCTTTTCCTGACTTCTACATTTTTATTTAAATACTGAATGCCATTCACTTAGCTATCATAATAAATTCGTTTAAAAATTTGAGATATAATATATAGTATACCATAAAATTTACCCTTTAAAAGTGAACATTTGGCCCTGACCGGTTTGGCACGGTGGATAGAGGATCGGCCTGCGGACTCAAGGGTCCCAGGTTTGATTCTGGTCAAGGGCATGTACCTTGGTTGCGGGCACATCCCCAGTGGTAGGTGTGCGGGAGGCGGCTGATCAATGTTTCTCTCTCATTGATGTTTCTAACTCTCTATTCCTCTCTGTAAAAAATCAATAAAATATATTTTTTTTAAAAGTGAACATTTGTGTGGGTTTAGTATATTCACAAGGTTGTACAATCACTGCCACTCTCAATTCCATAATATTTTCATCACCCCCCAAAAGAAACCCTTACTTAGCCAGTCCCTGACAGTCACTAATCTACTTTCTGTCTTTATTGGATTTGCCTGCTGTAGACAGTCACTTATATGAATTCTTGTAAATTGAGTCATATAAGGTGTGGCCTTTTGGGTATGACTTCTTTCACTTAGCATGTTCTTAAGTTTTATCCATATTGTAGTATGTACCAGTACTTCATTCTTATTTATGGCCAACTAATATTACATTTTATTTATGTATCAGTTGATAGGCATTTGGATTGTTTCCACTTCTTGGCTTTTATGAATATTTGTGTACAAATGTTTGGGTGAACATATATTTTCAATTCTCTTAGGAATATATATCGAGGAGTGGAACTACTGGATCATGGTAACTGTATGATTAACTCTTTGAGGAGCTGTCAAAATTAACCATAGTGACTGTATTTTTTTTTTTTTGACTGTATTATTCTGTGTTCCTACCAGTAGTGGATGAGGGCTCCAGTTTCTTTATGATGTTGCTAATACTAGTTATTTTTCATTTTTAAAGTTATAGCTATCTTTCTTAGTTCCCTAGGACTGCTGTAACAAAGTATCACAAACTGGGTAGCTTAAAATAACAAAAAACTTATTTTCCTACAGTCCTGAGAACTAGAAATCCAAAATAAAGATATTGAGATGCTTCTTCTGAAGGTTCTAGGAAAGAATCTTTTTTAGATTCTGGTGGGTAATGGCAATCCTTTGTATTTCTTGGTTTGTGTCATTTTAACTCCAGTCTGCCTTTGTTTTAACATGGTATGTCTGTATCGGTGTTGTACAGATTTCCCTCTTCATATAAGTACACTGGTCATACTAGGTTTTGGGCCCATCCTAATCCAGAATGACTTTTATTCTTAATTTTATTACATCTGCAAATTCCCTATTTCAAAATAAGGTTATATTCATAGTGGGTGGACATGAATATTTTGGGAACACTATTTAACCTAACATTCTGATGAGTGTCAAGTAGTATGCCATTGTTATTGATTTGTATTTCCCTAATGACTAAATACTGAGAATCTAGTTTGCAGCTGTTGGCTATTTGTATATCTTATTTGGACAATTTTTTGTTAAGTCCTTTGCCCATTTTAAAATTGGGTTACTTGTCTTTTTTATTATGAAATTGTAAGAATTCTTTATATATTCTCGATACTAGGCCCTTATCAGATAAATGATTTGCAGATGTTTTCTCTAATTCTTTGGGCTGTTCTTCAATTACTTGATAGTGCCCTTTGATGCATACAAGTTTTTCATTTTGGTGGAAGTTCAGTTTACCTATTTTGTTTTGATAGCTTGTTATGTCTAAGAAACTGTTGCCCATTTCAAAGTTATGTAGGTTTTCTAAGAGTTATAGTTTTAGCTCTTTTATTTTTAGATCTTTGATCCATTTTAAGCTCATCCATTTGAGCATAACTTTGTGTATTGTTTGAGATAAGTATCTTTTGCTTATGGAGCTCTAACTGTCCAAGCACTATTTGTGGCAAAGACTGTTCTTTCCTTCATTGCATTGTCTTTAAATCAGTTGACTATCAATATAAGGGTTTATTTTTGTACTCGCAATTTTGTTTTATTGATCTGTATGTCTGTCCTTACGCTGGTATCACACTGTATTGTTACTGTATGTAAGTTTTGAAATGGGAAGCGTGAATGCTCTCACTTCTGTTCTTTTCCAAGATTGTTTTGGCTATTTTGGGTTCCTTGGATTTGTACCTGAATTTTAGTATCACCTTGTCATTTTCTGCAAAAGAGCCAGTTAGAATTTTGATGGTGATTTTGTCAAATCTGAGGTTCTATTTGGGGAAATTGCCAATCTAACAGTATTAGTCATGAATGTGGGATATCATTTCATTTAGTTAAACCTTCTGGAATGCCTTTCAATGATGTTTTTTAGTTTTCAGTGTATAAGTTTTGCACATTTCTGTTAATTTATTTCTATGTATATTATTCTTTATAATGCCTTTGAAAATGGAATTATTTTCTTAATGCCATTTTTGGATTGTTCATTGCTAGTGTATAAAAAGAAAATCAATTTGATTATATTGATTTTGTATCCTGCAATTTTGCTGAACTAGTTTATGAGCTCTAATGAAGTTTTCTTTATTTTTCTTCCTTTTTGGGGATTCCTTAAGATTTTCTATATGTAAGATCATGTCTTCTGCATATTAGAGATAGTTTTACTTTTCCCTTTCCACTCACTCTGTTTGCCTCTACTTCTCATTCTTGCAATCTATCCATTCATTCTTGCAATCATCCAAGCATCCATCTGCACATTAGATATTTATTTGGTGCTTCATATATACCAGTGCTGTTCTAGACATATAGGGTACAGCAGAGAACAAGACAGTTTCTGTTTATATGGAACTCATATTCTGTTATAGTTGATAAAAGTGTATTTTAGTTTTTAGAAGAACTCAAGAAAAATTGGATATCTAGATGGAGATGTTAGTAATTTCTAAAATGTGCACTCACTATTTTTAGATCTAAGTGTTAAAGAAAAAATAATTGAAGACATGCGGATGACACTAGAAGAACAAGAACAAACTCAGGTAGAACAAGATCAAGTGCTTGAAGCTAAATTAGAGGAAGCTGAAAGGCTTGCTACAGGTAAAACAATATTGCTTAAATATCTCAAGACATACTCTTACATTTTCTTTATTTCCCTAGATTTCTTTCCTTTTAAAGTATTATAGTACTTATAATAATTCATAATGAAAATGTATTTGGTGTGTCTTTGCAATGTCCTGTCACCTGCCATTTTCCAATGTGATGAAAATTATTTTATCTAAGTAAAATTGTGTATAGTAAAGAAGGACTAAGGACATGCTCTTGCAATGTTCCCCAGATGTTAAGAATAAACTTTCAACTAAGTTTTACCTTTTTCTAGCTCTTAGTATTATCTTTGTATAAATACTCTGATTTCATCCCGGAGAATACCATCACAGTTTAATTTTCGAGAATTACGTGAAGTTTCCTATATAATTAAGACTGACATGCATTTAATTTATATCGTATAAATTTGAACACTATTCAGTGGGTGCCCATAAGGTCCCTGTAGTTCCTCTTCTCTAAGAATTTGGTAAGAACTCTTAAAAGTGAGGCTCTTAGTGTAGTTCTAGTTCTGTCTTGATCTGTGTTCTTTTTTCTTATTTGTATCCCATGCCACATGTATCTCTAAATGGTATCATTCTGCATGCTTTTAAAAATAATTTTATGTTTTCAAACAGAATTGGAAAAATTGAAAGAAAAATGCAAAGATCTGGAAACCAAAAGTAATCAAAGTTCAAATGAAGAACTTGAGGGTAACACAGATGTGCTTAGTAAAAAGCTCAATAAACTTCAAGATGAGTTACAGGTAGGATTTTATTTGTGTGTGTGTGTGTGTGTGTGTACACACACACACACTGAGTGGCCAGATTATTATGACCACCCCATCAGTACTTCATTGACACTTCCAAAAATACTGAATATTGAAAACTTCCTAAGCAAATACTCTCAAGGTTTTATTATTATTATTATTATTTGCATAACTAATTCACTTCATTGTACTGAATATATATATACACTGAGTGAATATATACTCAGTGAATATATATACACTGAGTGGCCAGATTATTATGACCACCCATCAGTACAATAATATATATATTTATGTGTTCATTATATTTCTGATGAGAGGAGAATTCAGTAAATATTTTATGGTTGCTTCATGTACGGGTAAAATAATTCCTAGGAGTAACTAATATATTGATATAATTTTTTCAGTATACATTGAAATGACACGGGGAGGAAATTCCCAAGATACAAACTAATTGCAAATGAAAATACAGTGGTTGGGTCTTCAGTTTTATATTCTACATATTTAATACTTAAGTCACCATATCTTACCTATTTTTCTACTCTTGAATTTCTTACTTATCAAATACTGCTATGGGAAAGGTGACTTTTAGGAAAATTATTTTGATTATTATAAATATGTAATTATTTACATATGTAATTATTGAGTTGGAAAAGAACAATGTTAAATATCTGGACACTGGGATATATTTGAAACCATACTATATAGAAGATATTTTGTTTGTTGTTTATATTTTTTTCCATGTTCAACTCAAACATACTATGTATGGAATATAACATATAGGGGAAATATGTTCTTAATGGGATTTACCAAACACTGCTTAAAATTTTGTAAATTAGGAGCTGCATTCATAACTAGACTCGAGATTAAAGATAACATGATGATTTTGAAAAGTTGACTAAATCTAAATTATTTTCTTAAGTGCAGGCTGTATGTAATTGGGTACTGAACAAATACAAAAAAATCACTACTTTCTTTTGTAAGGGTTAATTATATATTCTAGAATTTACCCTTTCTATTGTGAAAACCTCAAGTAAATATACTATTAATTATGAAAAAATGCATGAACTATATTGAGAATGTTTATATTTAAGAGTATTGGTATGTTTGCATTGCTCTCAAATGATGTAATCACATATCTTAGATTATAAGCTTTATAATCTTGGAATTGACTACCATAGTTCTAAAAACAGTGGGATATATATTTTAAAGTGGTGTTATTGTTCTTGTTTACTTGGGTTTTGAATGTATAAATTAGATGCCTTTGAACCCAATTTGAAAATTACTGGTCATTTGTATTCTTGGTCCAGACGTTCTCAATGATCCTTAAACTAATAAATGTTTGCCTTATTGCACATGTTATTTTTTATTTGGCATCTTATATACCCAGGAATATTTTATTTTTAGACCCATACAATTAGAAATGACCATCACATGTAAAGCAAGGACCTACAACCAAAATTACTCTACCTAGCAAAGCTACCATTTATTTTAATTTTAATTTTTTTGTTAATTCTCACCTGAGAATTTTTTTTATTTTTTTTTAGTGCCGAAACCCGGGATGAGAATATTTTTTACCATTGATTTTTTTAGAGTGAGGGGGTGGGAAGGGGGGGGGGGGGAGAGAGAGAGAGAAACAGAAACAGAAATAGAAACATAGATGTGAGAGAGAAACAGTGATTGGTTGTCTCTCACACCTGCCCCAACCGGGGCTGGGGAAAGAACTTGCAACCAAGGTACATGCCCTTGACCAGGAATTGAACCCGAGACCCTCCGGTTTGCGGGCTGACACTCTAACCACTGAGCACGCCAGCCAAGGCACAAAGCTATCATTAAGAATGGAAGGTCAGATAAAGAACTCCCCAGACAAGAAAAAGCTAAAGGACTTCATCACCACTAAACAGTATTACATGAACTATAATGAGTGAACAAGCAGAACAGAACCATACTCATAGATAAAGAGAACATTTTGAAGGTTACCAGATGGGAGGCAGGTTGGAGGGATGGCTAAAAAAGGTGAAGGGATTTAGAAGCACAAATTAGTCATAGCCCATGGACACAGACAATAGACAGGTGAAGGCCTAGGATTGGGTAGAGGGAGGGAAAGCGGGGGGAAATGGGGCCATCTGTAATACTCTCAACAATAAAATAAAATAAAAAATAAAAAAGGAAAGACCATCACACACAAAGTCTTTTTTTTTTTTTTTTCTGTCATTTAGGAAGACGTGTGTCTAACTTCTTCAGGAATTTAAATTGTTTATTTCTTCTTATGCTCACTGACTTAAGCCTTTAAATAATGAACTTCATAGCAAAGTAAAGTTTATAAGGGAATAGTGTTTAGGAAAGCAAACCAGCAATGTTTATTTTATAATCTGAAATAAACTGATCTTGTCATTGTTGAAAGACAAGCACTTTTAAGGTTTTAAAAAGTGATGGGTTTTATGAAAATGGTATAAAAATAGATTTTTTGACTACTTAAGCATCTGATAGTTTTTTGTACTGTTTTTATATATAGAAATCTGAACAGAAATATAACTCTGATAGAAAGAAATGGTTAGATGAGAAAATGATACTAATCACTCAAGCTAAAGAATCTGAGAATCTACGAAACAAAGAGATGAAAAAATATGCTGAAGACAGAGAGCGTGGTTTAAAGCAACAAAACGAAGTGGTTGGTAGCAATTATACTTTCTCCTTGGTGTGTTTCACCTGCTTTCTTGGGCTTGTTAAGTTTATCTCTGGGATTCATATCTGTCTGTGCATGGTTCGTTGTTTTCTTTTTTTTAAAGGCACCTTTTCTATTTTTATTGTGAATAAAAAAGGGCTGTAGAATAAACCTGACAAGTTGGGGTAGGGGATGGAGGAGCACGTGGCAGGCCTGACAAGCTCAGTGACTAAGAGTGACCACACAGTATGCCCTGATCACAAATTCCTAATTGGACAGGCCATGGTAGGTAGTCGAGTCACAGGCCCAGAGCTTCCTTAGCAAAAGTCATTCTCTAAGTGAGTGAGTTCTGTCCATTGTTCTTATGCATCTTTTTCTAGACCCTTGAAGGCACAACTGCAGGCACCAGAGCACAAGACCACCATAGCAAGAGACCACAGAATCCCTCATTGTTATCATGTTCCCTGCCTGCTATCCCCGTAAATGTTAACTATTAACACTCCTGTACCTACCACTGTAAAAGAAGTATTTCTCCATTTTGCCTTTGATTTAATCCTAGAAATGTCCCTGCTTTGCTTTCTCCTGTCTCCTTAATTGGCCACAATAGATTTCATGTAACCTTCCTTATGTTTTATCCTTTGGCTAATGCATAAAAGGAACCGCAAAACTGCTATTCTTCTGAGCATTTTCTCAATCCATTGAGATCTTGCTTCTGGGCATGCCCTCAACAGTCTGGCTCAAATAAATCCTTACAAAACTTTTCTATAGGTTTGGATGACAGTAAGATGACTCTTCTGTCCCATTTTATCTTGAAGATCACATATGTTCTTTTTTTTTTTCTTCAGTTTATTTAGCAATTTGGAAAATACCTAATTACATTTCTGTCTTGATATAGAACTTAAAATTTTCTTCCTTTTGACTGCCACAGGGCTATCCCTACTGTGTTGTGAAACTTGTTTTGCATTTTGAACTGTACATTCTACTAGCATGGTGTGTATGTTTTATCTCATATACAACTTTTATCAATATATACTTTAACATTTTCTCTAATTTCTGGTTAGGAAACACTGACAGCACAGCTGGCAGAGAAAGATAGCAACCTTCAAAAGTGGCGAGAAGAACGGGATCAACTGGTTGAAGCTTTAGAAAAGCAGCTGAAAGCACTGATATCCAGTAACTCTCAAAAAGATAATGAAATTGAACAATTGAAAAAAAGGATCACATCAGTGGCTTCGAAAACAGTCAGTAAAATCTTGTCCTTTCTATGCCTTTTAAAAAAATATTAAACAAAGAAAAATTTCAAAATTGTTTAAATCCTTAAAGGTTAAAAAAGTAAGTTTCCAATAGATCAGAGGGGAATCAGAGTTTGAAAAATTCTTTGGATATTTTTCATGAATTTTGAGTTTTTAGTTCAGAGATAATATTGTCTTAATAGAGTTGTGAAACTTGAGAGCATTTGTAAAAGACAATTAGCACAGTTCAGTTTTTACCTCAGTGAAAGTACATGCTATTATCCCCACATTTTATTCAACAGAATCTTATTTAACAGTTATGGGTAGTTGACATGGAGATGTATTTGACTTTTGATTTTCTTTAAATGTTCTATTTCTTTAATACTCACCCAAGGCTATTTTTTCCATTAATAAATAGAGAGTGGGAGGGAGAGAGAGAGAGAAAGAGAGAAAGACCAGCTTGAGATAGAGACACATTGATTGGTTGCCTTCTGCCTGCACCCCTACTTGGGCTGGGGAACCTATAACTGAGATTTGTGCCCTTGACTGGGAATGGAACATGAGACCAGGTCACCACTCTAACCACTGAGAAAAACTGGCCAGGGCTGACTTGATTTTGATGGTAGTGATGAGAAGGCCCAGGTCGAAATTTATCAAGTTTAAAAATGTAATCTAATACTTCTTTGTAGATCCCTAAGTAGATTTAGGAATAGAACATAACCTATGACTCAGAAAGTGGGATGAACAGTGTGTAACAAGAAAAGGTTTAGTTATCAATATGGTCTTTTCTACTGTAATGCTATAGTTTCATTTCCAAAACTCTAGTTTTTAAAAATTGTGTTATCAAAGTTCAGATCCTAACTTAGTACAGACCTTGGCCATATCATATTCTATTTCCTCATCTGGAAAGTAGGAATGATTCTTGACAAATTAATTCAAGAGTTACAATGAAAGTAAAATTAGAGAATATATGTAAAACACCTTGGAAGTTGGAAGTAATCTTTCACATTCTCTTTATATCAAACTCAGAAGAGGTTGGAATATTGTCCAGCCTTTCCTGAGGATGAAAGAGAAGAGAAAGGAGAGTTACGTGCTCATTGAAGAAGTCTTTGATTGCTTCCCCTATTTTATCTGCCCAAGTCTTGATTTTATATTCTTTAGTTGAAGTGTTTTAATTTATTTTTGGTTACAGTGGCTTGTTGCTTTAATATTTACTTTAGGAAAAAGAAACCGTGGATATCAAGCCCATGCATATGAGTTCAACAGATCTTGGTGGAGTTGAAACTGAACCTCAGTCTACAGGTTTTGAAATTTCCAGCAATGAAGTAGAGGTGGGCATTTGGTAACACAGTCCACTTTTTTACCCTCTTTACTTACCAGTGACCATTAATAACTAAATAACACATGCAAGTATAATTTAATCAACCATTGTAGTTATCTTGCTGTTATAATTAGCTATATATGCTCCCCGCTGTGGGGAAAAAAGGTAAAGGTTTTTGAGGAGACGTGAAATTCTTTTGAGAGATTAGATCTCCAAATAATACCCTCTCAAAGTGATATTGATCTCAAATAACAGATCTGTTAATATAAACAAATTTGTTGACCAGAAATAGGAAATCCCACAAAAGATAGAGTATGGATGATTATTGGCCCTTCTAAGAGACCCTTTAATTAGCATTTTGAAATCATACCCATTTAATAACTTGATCAACAATCTTACTAGCTCACAATGAAATTTCATAATTTGTAGTGAGTTTAGGATTCTATGAATCACTTTGGATAATACAGATTCTCAGATTATATATGAAATAGATAAAACTTCTGTGCACTTAAAGTTTTGAAGATAAAATTACTTAAAAAAATTTTTTTAAACACATTTTTTGGGAGCATTTAGTGTTGGGAACCTTGCGAAATACTGAGAATACAAACATAAATAAGCTATGATTGCCACCCTCAAGGAGGAAAAAATCTGGTAAGACAGATACATAAATGACCACCTTGTTTGACCTTACCTTTTGGGCTAAGTGTAATGTATGAACAGAGTACTAAGAAACACTGACTGAGAAGGTTATGATGAATTTTGCCTCAGTGGTTGAGGATGTGGATTAGCGAAGGTAAATAACATCATAACATCATCCAGGGTTGACTAGAATTTTACCAAGCAGAGAACAGGAAGAGAAGGGCATTTTAATCTAGGGAAATACTCTGAGCCATTCCCTTTCAGCTTATTAGTATTGACCTTAGAGACTACTATAGATCATAATGTTCGTATAAAAGATTGAAGTTGAGCCCTAACCGGTTTGGCTCAGTGGATAGAGCATCGACCTGCGGACTGAAAGGTCCCAGGTTCGATTCCGGTTAAGGGCATGTACCTTGGTTGCGGGCACATTCCTAGTAGGAGGTGTGCAGGAGGCAGCTGATCGATGTTTCTAACTCTCTATCCCTCTCCCTTCCTCTCTGTAAAAAAATCAATAAAATATATTTGAAAAAAAAAAAAGATGGAAGTTGATCCACAAACAAGATTTCTTTCTCTATAAATTTGTGTTGGAAGATCCACAAACAAGATTTCTTTCTCTATAAATTTGTGTATGTTCTCCTAAACCTCCAACTTCCTACTAAGAACTCCAGCAGTTATTGTGTACTTGACAGTTTTGGAGAATGGTATTGTTAGGCTGTTTTGCATACTTTTCCTGCCTTTATGAAATTAATATGCTCAACTGGGCTAAAATTCCAAAATGATTCATTCACAGAGCTGATTTGGGAAGTCAGATGGACCTATATAGAACCTCTCCCTATGGCTTGGGCTTCTTATAGCTAGATTCTGAAGTGGGGCATTTTGAGGAGAGGGGTGTGTCCTGTAGGTTAGTGTTCTGACAATGCAGAGTGGAAGTTAGAAGATTTCTTATGATTGAGCCTCAAAAGAACATCCTGTTGGTCATGGGAATCACTAGGGCCAGCCCAGATTCTAGGAAAGAGAATGAAACTCCATCTCTCAGTGGGAAGAGTAGTAGCAGAGCAAAGAATTTGCAGCAAACCTTAATGTACTGTAAACTGGGTGCTTATTAAAAATTCTATGCTCTCCTTGGAGAGTTCTGATTTAGTAGGTTTGTGGTGTGGTTCCACGGATCTTTTAAACAAATTCTCTAGATAATTCTTAGGATCATACTGGGAAATACTAATTTCTAAGTTTCCCTCGATATTAACATACCTAGTGTAAGCTTGAAGAGGGTAGATGATAATTCAATCTCTGTCCTTGCTCTATTGAATTTGACCCCAGCACAATTTTTATCTTTTCTAACTCCTTTGTCTTTAGTAGGTATTCGAGAGTTAATTCTTTGTGATTTATAAATTTATATTCTTCAAATAAGGTTTGTTTTCATTTTTAATCCTGTTATAGGATGAATTTGTAGTTCTTGACTCTTGTGAAGTGTCAACAGAAAATAATCAAACTACTCGATTTCCAAAACCTGAGTTAGAGATTCAATTTACACCTTTACAGCCAAACAAAATGGCAGTGAAACACCCTGGTTGTGCCTTACCAGTAACGGTTAAGATTTCCAAGGCTCGGAAGAGGAAGAGCAACGAAATGGAACAGGTAAATACTTAACTGATGAGTAAATTTAACAAGCAAGCATTATTGTTGTTGAGCTCATTTACAATATATACTTAAACTCTGCTACACTTCCCTCCGATTCATAAGCACTGCTGTTAGAGACCAAAATCATGAATTATGGCATATTCTAGAATATCACTGTAGTTAAATAGTCATCAAACAAAAAGCTTATAGATACTAAGATTATAGTTTATCCGTATCTTAGGTCTCTATTGTCATAACTCTATGGTCTCTTTTAGAAGAGAAATTCTTTTTCTAACAGCCAGTATATTAAAATTTGGACCTCTTTTTAGTGGAAGGCTAAAAAAAATCTGTTTATTCTTATTGCAGCTTTTTCTTTTTCTACTGCAGCTTTTTGATTGTAGGGTTATCCAATCCTCTATCATGTCACACAAACTTTCTGACCCCCCTGTTTCCTCCTTTTGGGAATAAAAGAGTAGATGTAGTATGTTTAAAATGCTTAGTTTGTATTCCACATGTCATAGATAGGTAAGTAATTTGTTTTAAGTTTAAAACTAATTGTAAGCTCTTCAGCACAATAACTATCTTCAACAATTTTTTTTTTTTTAACTCTTTTAAAGAGTACTATATTTTCAAGCTGGTGGAAGAGCAGAAGTAGTACTAACTATACTCCTGAGGCTCTCCGTCAGGTAATAAATTTACTAAATAAATATTATTTAGACTATTTCCTTCTACACCTAAAACACCTTTAGAGGTTGTTTTCTATAGCCTTTGTTAACTTTTATTCTATATTTAATTTATATCTAATACATTTTAGATACCATTAAAATACTAAGTATTTTATCATCTATGTTTATTTCCTTGATTTATTTTTTCAAGGGAAAAGGAAAATTTGTTGTGTATGCAGTATTAAAATACAATTATTCGTTTTACTATTGGTCTGTAATCTCCTTTAGCTCCATGTGTATTTCAGAATAGATATACAGATTGTTGTAGGCAAATCATGTAAAACTTAAAAGTTTTAATTGATTTTACTAGCTCTTAACTGCTATAATAAACTGAGGCTCTCATGAAAATCATATATACAGTGTTATATTCTATTCCAGTGAAGACTCCAAAGTGCTCTTTATTGAACACTACAAGTGTGATGGAGTTAAAATCTGTCCTGTTTGTTTGCTTCCCATGATGCCACCTGCCTTCCCCTTTAAGAAAGTCTGCTTCTGCCCTAACCGGGTTGGCTCAGTGGATAGAGCGTCGGCCTGCGGACTGAAAGGTCCCAGGTTCGATTCCGGTCAAGGGCATGTACCTTGGTTGCGGGCACATCCCCAGTAGGGGGTGTACAGGAGGCAGCTGATCGATGTTTCTCTCTCATTGATGTTTCTCACTCTCTATCCCTCTCCCTTCCTCTCTGTAAAAAATCAATAAAATATATATTTTAAAAAAGGGGAAAAAAAAGAAAGTCTGCTTCTTTTGACCCTTAATGGCTTTCACTTGGTGACTTGAATTCTGAGGTTCAGTCATGATCCTTTATCTGCTTCTGTTCTGGCGCCCCCCCCCCCCCCCACTTTTATCCTTATAATCTTTGGTATAACTAGGATTTGTGCCAGTTCAGTTAACAATGCTACAAAAGCTTTTCCTAAGATGTCATGTCTATTTAGAAGGGAAGAGAGAATATGTTTTCACATTTTACCTGTGTTTATACTGAAGATTTTTATTTTATTTTGTTTTCAGTGCTGTCAAATTTCAGTAGAGGTCGTAGACATAGATGCTTTGCAGAATTTGGGAGTTGAGGAAAGGGAAGGTATATTGTTGTACTGTGTGGGTTCAAATGAAAGATGTTCTCCCTTCTAATCTTTTTCATTTAGCTCATAATTTCATTATATATGGTGTGTGGAAAATTCATACCTTTAATCATTTTGCAAATGTATTAAATCATCATATTGTACACCTTAAACTTCTTATGTTATATGTTAATATTTCAATAAAATTGGGAAAAATTTATACTTTTGATCAGGGTTTCTCAACTTCAGCACTATTGACATTTGGGACAAGATATCTCTTTCTTTAGGAAAGTTGTCCTGAGCATCATAGGGGTGTTAAGCAGCATTATGGCCTCTACCCACTGGATGCCAATAAAATTCCATTTTCCCCAGCAATGACAGCTAAATGTATCTCCAGACATTGGCAATGTTCCCCAGGGTCAGAAATCACCCCTGGTTAAGAACTGTTATCTCCTTTTCTTTCTTTTCTTCCTCTTCCTCTTCCTCTTCCTCTTCCTCTTCCTCTTCCTCTTCCTCTTCCTCTTCCTCTTCCTCTTCCTCTTCCTCTTCCTCTTCCTCTTTCTCTTTCTCTTTCTCTTCTTCTCTTCTCTCTTCTCTTCTCTTCTCTTCTCTTCTCATCTTCTCTCTTTCCTCCCCTCCCCTCCCCTCCTCTTCTTCTTCTTCTTCTTCTTCTTCTTCTTCTCTCTCTCTCTCTCTCTCTCTCTCTCTCTCTCTCTCTCAACTCCAGAGAAAGAAAATATTGTCAAGAAATTAACCAGTGCTTAAATATATTATTTTTTAGGAGTTGGTGAAATGTGAAAATAAGAATACTACACCCAGAACTAATTTGAAGTCCCCTATTTCCGAGCATAAAAATTCTCCCGTCAAAAAGGAACAAAAGGTTTGTCTTTTAATTTGTCCAAAATTGACCACTTCAATTCTTTATAAAGTAGAAGGCAAAAATAAAGATGTCACATTTGATTAGTAATTTTTCAGTTTTGTCTAATTATAACTCATTTATCTTTTATTTCTATTCATCTGATCAGCTTAGAATGTAAGCTTTAGCATTTGGCCAGTAGCAGGCACTTCTTGTTCACTTCTCACTTACCACTCTACCTATCACACTCAGTGTGCCATTCTCCGGTCCATACATCCTTCGTTCATATATATATATATGTATATATGTGAAGGATGTATATATATTTTAATCCTCACCTGAGGATATGTCCATTGATTTTAGAGAGAGAGAGAGGAAGGGGGGGGGGAGAGAGAGAGACATTGATCAGCTGCCTTCCACATATACCCTGATCAGGAATCAAACCCGCAACCTGTTGGAGCATAGGACAGTGCTCCAACTAACTTAGCCACCCGGCCAGGGCTCTCCTTATATTCTTAATTGATAATTCCCTGTCTGAGAATTCATAACCTGTGTCTGGCCTCTTTAATTCAACGGTGGCTATAATATTTCCTTCTAACAGTCCTCATCAACAATAACAAAAAATGTTTGTTTATTAGGTTTCCTCACAGTCATCATCTCATAAAACATATTCTTTACGGAGTCAGGCATCTGCAGTTAATGTAAACTTGACCGCTAAGAAAAAAGAAGGAACACTACAGAAATTTGGAGACTTCATACAACGTTCTCCAACAATTCTTCAATCAAAAGGTTTGCAGAAAATTAATTAAATGCCCTTCAATGTTAGGTATTAGGGTATTTCCTAATATCTGATTGGTATATAAACTCATCACAGTGATTATTATATTTCAAGTATTCACTGTCCTATGTTAGGTACTGTGGGAGGAAACATGAAAAGGCCTAGGAGCTCACTATGTGGTGAAGAAAGGCCTATATTTAAGTAATTGATCCAGAGCAGGCTGCTCTGTAGTTATAGAGATACAAGTAGGGTGCTGTGGTAGTATTGAAGGGAAATGAGCTGTTCTAATTAGGGACTATGGGAAGATTTTACAGAAGAATTTAGCCTAGTAATGAAATGTTGGCAGAATTACATCTGCTAGAGATAAACACTGTTAGTATAATTGTATATATTCTTCTAGTGTTTTTTTCTATGTACAGATAAACATTACCTATTCATATATATAAAAAACATATACTTCTATAAATGTCCATTGAGTTTAGTTGCTGAATGCTTTTTTCTTAGCCACATTAATACCTGTGTATTAATATATGCTAGGATGTACACTTTATGTACATGTATACATAAACAAAAACATACATATATATGCGTACACACACAGATACGCACCTACCAGAGGAACAGTTTCGACATAGGTAGAGTACCAGGAAAGTATAGGGAATATGCAGGCTATTCCAGGTTGTAATATTCGTCTGGCATGTAGAATGTGGGGAGATTATTGGGGGGAGACGGCAGGTAGAGGAGTGGGATTTCATGAGATTACCTGAGTGGTAGCAATAGGATAAATTGGAGAGTAGAGGTGAGGAGAATAGGGAGGGATAGGGACTATGAAGGCAGGGGACAGTTGAACTGATTCAGATAGATTGTGTAAAAGTACTTTTCTGTAAAAACTTACACAGAGGTTCCCAAACGTTTCTTGGTTCATAGTGCCCTCAATAACTCATTGATTTTTTTATTGTGCTTCTGCACCCAAAGAAACACCTCCATTTAGCACTTAAGGCCAAACAACCACTGAACATTCAGCTATAATTATAATACATATCTGTTGTTGATCAGTTGGAAATATAGAGAAAAAAGAAGAAAATTGAGATTAATTCTTAAAATTCTGCTGCTCTGATAACCACTGTTAATTCCTTATTTGGTATCACTGGTCTTCTAACTTTTACTTCTTGCCTATCTCCTATCCATTCAATACCCGGCAGACAGTGTTCTTTTCAAAGTGCAAATTGAATTAAGCTATAATTTTTTGTTTTCTTTTGCACTAGAATAAAAGTGCCACAACTGCAAAATGTCTGTCAGGCTCACATCCCCAGCTCTTAGTATAGTGGCTGGGGCTTAGTAGTAGCAGTCTGGTGCCTCCAGGCCAAAATCCTGTGGTGGTTTTGTTTTTAAGGCTGACCATGAGCAATTACAGAGGCTTTACTTGTTAGGCCTCATGGGGAGAGCTGCCCTCCCCACACCAAACTTAGTGCACACACAGTGCATTGCAGTCTCTGAAGGGAGTTATAGTCAAGGACTCAGGTCCGGTCCAGCCATGCGTGTACGAAACTGGATTCCTAGCCTAAGTGCCTTCATTTGGAGCCTCTTTGGGGCCTTCAGCAGAGAACTTCCTCAGGTGCCTCTGCTGAATACCTTATGACCGGGATGGGGAGGCAACCTTGAAGACACCTTTCTCCCCTCAAACTCTATTTTTTCACACCTAGCCCCTCGGCCTGGCCTCCAGCTGCAAGGCCTATAAAACTGCAAGTGCATGAGTCTTTTGTTCTGGGTTCCCTTGGTAATGAGATGGCCCTCAGTTTTATGCTGATACTTCTGACCTAGACCACACTGTTCTATGGGAAAATATGGAAAAGGAGTGGGCGGGAGCTGTGATTTCTCAGGTTTAGCTTCTTACTTTGTTCTTAACCTTCCTAATGCTGCGACCCTTTAATACAGTTCCTCATGTTGTGGTGACCCCCAACCATAAAATTATTTTTGTTGCTACTTCATAACTGTAATTTTGCTACTGTTATGAATCGTAATGTAAATACCTGATATGCAGGATGTATTTTCAGGGGTCGCAACCCACAGGTTGAGAACCACTGGAAAGGCTTGAGTGTTACTTTCATTTGGCTTATCTTAATTGTGTACTCTGACATCTGGCAGCCCAGCTTTCTCAAGCTCAGTTCAGCCCTTTATAAGTGCACCCTCATTTTAGCATATTTCCTTAAATGTTTTACTATTTTAAAAAAATATATAGTTTATCCTGTGTATATGGATTTATTTTATCCAGGAGTTTTCCCAAATGGAAAAATACTATTAAAACCAACATGTGTCTTTTAAAAAATAAAACAAATGTGCAAAGTAAGACATTTAAAAATTCCTTTTTCTCTTCCCAGAAGCAATTAATTGTTAACAATTTACTTTCTCTTACGCTGTGTATGTGTGTGTATGTATATGTGAGTGCATGTGTTAACTATAAGTAAAGGTCTCACAATAATAAACTACCTTTACTTAATATTCCTGTGGACATCTTTACATGTGACTACTGAAATAGATCTGCGTCCTTACTTTTAATGCTGCATGGTCCACTATGTATGCATCCTGTTTCTTTGCTTTGCATAGCATAAACCTCTTTCAAATCATTAACGACTCCTGCATTTTACTGGTGGTACTATAATTTACTAGTCAAATGATATTTTACTTACTTATTTTTGCTCTTAATCATTATTTCATGTGTTGTTTATTAGGCATTTCATTTTTTTTTGTTAATTGTCTATCATGTCCTTTCACCATTTATAAATTACAGTGGTTTTTTTTGCTTGGTATGTTTTTTTCTTTATTAAGAATTTTAAACCTTTGCAGTTAGAAAATTTTTTGTTTCAGGATTTAACTAATCTATAATTTTTCATAGCAAAGAAATTAATTGAAACGATGAGCTCTTCAAAGCTCTCGAATGTAGAAGTAAGTAAAGAAAATGTATCTCGACCAAAACGGGCCAAACGGAAATTATACACAAATGAAATTTCATCTCCTATTGATATATCCGGCCAAGTGGTAAGCTACTACTTCAGTTTTCTTAAAAGTAAACCTGTTTGTGCTATTTTAAATTCTGAAGTATTCATAACAATTTGAATTTTACAATAGTTTGAATTTTTATTCTTTAGATCATATTTCTACAACATGCTTTAAATATTATGCTTTTGATATCAAATGTGTTAAACTTGTAGTAATTAAATATAAATGCGGCATTAATGCATACATTTATGAACTAATCGGAGGAATTTTAATTCCATCAGAATTATCACTGTCTAGTAATTTATTTTCTTCTAGCATCTATTTTTGTTATCTTTATCACTGTTGTACAAATCTGGGCCTCAGTGTGCCTGGTAAGAATCTGGAGTTGACATTCAGTCATTTCCTCCCACCTTCCCTCTGAGCCTCCCAGGTTCTATTGAGAAAAGACTGCAGTTTGTCACCATGACTCTATGACTCATTCTCTTCATTCAGAACAGGCTGTGCTGTTACAGGAAAAGTTCTGATTTTTTATCATGCTTACATTTGCCTACTGGATGAAAGTGAAAATAGAAAAGTAATTAAAGGAAAAGCCTTCAGCAGGAAATGGCCAAGAAAAATCAGGGGAGAGAGTCTTTTTGCAACAGCAGCTATCAGATATGAGATAGACACTTAAAAGCAAGTGGCATAGAATTGGCGTCAGTTAAGACATGCTGTCAGAAGTACTATTCTCTTCATCACTTTTCACCATCTGTTTGATTAGTACATAATTTCCTCCCTAGGCTGAAATTATTATTTCTTTACTTGCAATACAATGCTCTTTCAACTTTCTAAGTTATATAGTTGTTACTGAGAATGATAATTTCTTAAAAGTTATTTGAGCCTAGCCGGTGTGGAGCATCGAACTATGAACCAGGAGATCACGGTTCGACTCCCGGTCAGGGCATATGCCCAGGTTACAGGCTCTATATTAAACAAAGAAGAAAAAAAGTTATTTGAGCCTGGCTGGTGTGGCTCAGTGATTGAGCTGGAACCCATGAACCAGGAGGTCATGATTCAATTCATGGTCGGGGCACATGCCTGGATTTCGGGCTTGATCCCCCATTAGGGGGTGTGGAGGAGGGAGCCGATAAATGATTCCCTATCACCATTGATGTTTCTATCTCTCTCTCCCTCTCCTTTCCTCTCTCTGAAATCAATAAAAATATATTTTTAAAAATTTATTTGAGTTACATGTCTCCAAACATTTTAGTAATTATTTCAAGCTGTGTATACCTGAATACAGAATGTAGATTATTTTAATTCTAGAATTATGAAGTGTTGAAATAATCTTTTACAAAATCTGTTCCTTTAGTCATGCTTTTTTGTAGAAGATAGTATACCTGTAAGTCCAAGAAGACAAAAAATATAATGTACCTATTATGTCTAATAAGCACATGAACATATTTTACTAGTTAAAATAAGCTTTTATTTTTATTTAAAATTGTGTAATTGTTCATTTCAGATTTTGATGGATCATAAAGTGAAGGAAAGTGATCATCAGATTCTCAAACGACGACTTCGAACTAAAACAGCCAAATAAACCACTATGGAGAAGGTTTTAATATAAATTTTATATTCATAATCATTGTAATTTGCATCCTGACTTTAAAGATAGTTGTATATATTATGACATTAAATCCTTCTGTATATACATCACTATTTTATATATAGTGTAATTTTAATTCAATAAAGAAAATAAGTCAAGGCTTTTTTCTTTTCTTTTTTTTTAATTTTAATATATTTTTATTGATTTCAGAGAGGGAGGGAGTGGGAGAGAGATAGAAATACCAATGATGAGAGAGAATCATTGACCGGCTGCCTTCTGCATGCCCCCCACTGGGGATCGAGCCCACAACCCAGACATGTGCTCTTGACCGGAATCAAACTTGGGACCCTTCAGTCTGCAGACCAATGCTCTATGCACTGAGCCAAACTGACTAAGGCTTTTTAAAACTTTTTAAAAATTTATCTTTATTGTTGAAGGTAGTACAGATGTCCTTCTTTTTTCCCCATTGACCCTGTCTAGCCCACTCGCCCCTACCTTGGTTTATTTTTACTTATTTATTTAAATTTTTAAATTTATTGTTGAAAGTATTACAAATGCTCACCCTCCTTTCCCCTCCCCCATTGTCTAATGCTTTTTTATAATAGCTTCATTTCAACTGTATGTATTGTTTTCGCAGGCATGGGATCAGTGAGGATCCTAGGAAAGATAGTATTATTTTTTTTAGCCATAGATGCCACAGGTCAGGTATTTGGTTTATTAATATTTAACAGTGTCTTTTTACTCTGTTAGGAAATACAACTGATTTTACATATCTGTTTGGATTATACCTAAGATCCAGGGAGTAAGTGTGTATAGATCTCCTGTTACCAAAATATGTATAGTTGTTCACCCTCCTTATCCATAGTTTTGCTTTTCTTGGTTTCAGTTACCTGGGTCAATTGTGGTCGAAAAATATTAAATGGAAAGTTTCAGAAATAAGCAATTCCTAAGTTTTAAAATTGTGTACCATTCTGATATTGTCATGAAATCACACCATCCCATTTCATCCCACATGGATGTGACTCATCCCTTTGTCCAGCGTATTCACGCTGTATACCCTCCTCCCATTAGTCACTTAGTAGCCATCTTGGTTATCAGATTGACTCTTGGTATCACAGTGCTTGTGTTCAGTAACCCTTCTTTTACTTAATAATGGCCCCAAAGTGCAAGAGTAATGATGCTGGCAATTGAGATATGCCAAAGAGAAGCTGTAAAGTGCTTTTTTTAAGTAAAAAGGTGAAGCTTTCAACTTAATAAAGGAAGAAGAAAACTGTATGCTGAGGTAGCTAAGATCTACAGTAAGAATGAATCTATTACTGAAGTTATGAAGTGTGCCGCGCCAACACGGCCAAGGGTGGACCTGAGGAGGGGTGGTGAAGGATTGAAGAGAATACAGCTGGGGCTTGGTGGATCTCCCATGCCTGGATGAGGACACAAAAGACCCAGCCTGCAAGCCAATGCTTTATTTTATAGTCTGATTAAAACAAGGGTAGATTAACATGTATACAAATGTTCTTGTTTGGCAACACTTGCTGCACCTCCTACAGCCCATTAGCTACTTAGGAAGAAATTAGGGAGGGCTACAAGGTCAGGCTTAATTATGCTAGGAGAGCTCTGCCCTCCAGGCTGGGACTTGTTTGTGGCTCTGCCACAGGTCAGTCCAAGGCTTGACCCTAGAGCTGCTCCCTACAATGAAGAAGGAAAAAGAAATTGCTAATTTTGCTGTCATACCTCAAACTGCAGAAGTTTTGGCCACAGTGTGTGATAAGTGCATAGTTAATATGGAAAAGTCATAAAGTTTGTGGGTGGAAGACATGAACAGAAAATGTGTTCCGATTGACAGCAACCTTTGCACCTGAAAGCACTGAGCCTATATACGAGGACTTCAGCAAGGCATCTCCTGAAATAGTGACCACAGTCACATAACTTTCATTACAGTACATTGTTGTAATTGTTCTAGTTTGTTACTAATCTATTACTGTGCTTAGTTTATCAATTAAACTTTATCGTAAGTATGTATGTAGAGGAAAAAACAGTATATATTGGGTTTGGTACTCTCCCTGGTTTCACGCATCAACTGGGGTCTTAGATCATATTCTCTGCAGACAAGGGGAACTACAGTATATACATAATTTAGAAAAAAATCCCAAGTCTTTAATTAGAATACCCTATTTATATATATAAAAGCCTAAGTGACCGTCCAACTGTCCGACCAGTAGCTATGATGCGCACTGACCACCAGGGAGCAGACGCTCAATGCAGGAGCTGCCAAGCTGCGGTGACTTGGCAGCTGCAGTTCTCGGGTGATGTACTTGAAACCAGAGAAGAAGGAGCCTGATTCTGGGGTGTGTCACCCGAGAACCACCCTCTTGCAACCCGGGATCCCTCGGGGGATGTCGGAGAGCTGGTTTTGGCCTGATCCCCGTAGGCCAGGCTGAGGGAACCCACCGGTGCACGAATCCATGCACCGGGCCTCTAGTCTTTTATAATATAATAGAATTGTCTTTCCTATTTTTCCAAGGCATAGGAGATCAAAAGCAGAAAGCTAAAAAAGGAGATAGCATCTGGAGGCCAAAAAACATTGATAGCTAGAAAAGAGAATTTTAGACCTGCAGGGACCTTAGGGATGCATTGCCTTCATTTCATAGATGAGAAAACAGACCTATACAATTTATTTCCTCTAGATTATACAGCTAACATAAATTGAGCTTTGGCTTTAGAAAGAAAACAACCAATAAGAGACAAAAAGCAAAGAGGTCTCAAGAATTGTTGCCAAATACAGCTTTCTAATCTAAGAACAAACATATATCTAAAACCTTAAAAGCTTCATTGGATTTTAACATTATTTATTAAATGATGAACCTAAGTCAGGAAGAAAAATTATCTTTGGTGTCTTGTTTAGGGGATAATACTATGTTTAGGGAAAAGATCCATCAAAATAGTTAATTACATGATCTCTTTAAGCACTGAAATATTTTTTTTTTAAATATTTTTATTGATTTCAGAGAGGAAAGGAGAGGGAGAGAGAGAGAATAGAAACATCAATGATGAGAGAGAATCATTGATCAGCTGCCTCTTGCACGCCCCCTACTGGGGATCGAGCCCACGACCCAGGCATGTGCCCTTGACTGGAATCGAACCTGGGACCCTTCAGTCCGCAGGCCAATGCTCTATCCACTGAGCCAAACCAGCTAGGGCAGCACTGAAATATTTTTATTATGCTACCTGGTTTTATTATACTGAAAATATATGCATAGTCAATTCTCATTATTCAGAGAGTCCATATTTGTAACTTTCTTGTTAAATTTATTTGTAATCCCCAAGTCAGCACTCTAGGCACTATTGTAGTCATTCTTAGACATGCAGTGTGGCAAAACATTTGAGTTGCCCAACATGCATGTTCTCAGCTAAGGTTGAACAAGGTGAACAACTGCTTTTTGTCTCAGCTCTTAGACTAAACAGATGTCCACATCCCTTCATATAGACTGAAATCACACCTCAACAAGATCTGCAAGAGACAGTTTGCCAAATAGAAGGGCATTAGAAACACCTTGGGCTTTCCACAGATTTATACTAACAAAGCATACCTAAATTGAAGGTAGTATTCAAATTGCCCACTGTAATAAAAACACTCTACAGAGGAAGATACAATACAAATTCTCTATAACATTTGTTTTATAATGTGTGACATGAAGTAAAAAATCAGTACATATGGAAAGAAACAGCCAAATGAGTTCCATGGTAAACAACAACAAAAACCAGTCTATGCTGCCATCTTGATTCTCCAAAAATTAATTTTTTAGAGAGAATTTAAAAAATTCTCACCCAAGGACACATTTTGTTTGTTTGCTTTAATTTATTCTAGAGAAAAATAGCAATGTGCCTCCTGTACAAGCCCTGACTGGGGATTGAACCTGAAACCTGGGTACCTGCCTGACTGGGATTTGAACCCACGACTGTTCAGTGCATGAGATGATGCCCTAACCAACTGAGCCACATTGGCCAGAGTCAAAATTATTTCTTTTTGGCCATAGTAAAAGTTTGGTCAGTTTAGTTTTTATTTTCTCCAGTTAATACCTTTCATGTATATCAAAATTATAGATCCACTAGAGGCCCAGTGCATGAAATTTGCACGGGTAGGGTCCCTAGGCCTGGCCAGCGATCAGAGCCTATCAGGTTCTCTGCCTCCCCACCTCCTCTTTCCCTCACTCCCTCAGTGCCCCCCCCCCCAACCATTGGCTGCCTGCTATGTTCTCTGCCGCCCCTGGTGGTCAGCGCATGGCATAGCAAGCAATTGAACTCCCAGTCGAATTCCCAAGGGGACACTTTGTATATTAGCCTTTTATACACACACACACACACACACACACACACAATAGCAAACGGGCCTCATGGTATGGACTTGGTATGGGTAGGTTCTATATGCAATTTAAACTTAGATACATAATTTTTTGCAGTGTGGACACCAACTTAGCAATATGATGAGCGATGGCTGCTAGTCCTGAGAAACTGTAGTGTAGTTAGGCCAGTGATATAGCGAACATGTGGTTCAGAACACAATTTATATACTAACACTTAGCTCCCCTGTGGTGTCACTCCATGTATCATTTCTTTTGGCACTCTCCTTATCCTTATATGGCCATTTAAAAAATTATTTGGCAATAAATCACCAAAAAACCGTTTACAACATCAAAAGCCATTGAGATAAAATATGTACATGGATTATTGGTCAAAGTTAAAACTAATATTTGGGGAAAAAATTTTTTTTGTTACTCCTCACTGGAGGATGTTTTTTCCATTGCTTTTTAGAGAGAGAGGGGAAGGATGCGGGGGGCGGGGGGGAGAAAGAAACATTAATGTAAGAGAGAGACATCAATTGGTTGCTTCCCGCATGCTACCCAACCAACCAGGGGTTGGGGAGCGAATCCACAACCCAGGTATGTGCCCTAGACCAGGAATTGAACCAAAGACCCTTCAGTGCATGGGCTGATGTTCTAATCACTGAGCTCACTGGCCAGAACTAATTTTTAATAGAAAACAAATGAGACAAAATGTGTTCTCAAATAACACATTATGTCGAAATTTTAAGACATGATACATATCATTGATGCAGTAGATGGCATCTGTTTATTAGACCATAGTCATGCCCTTTAGTTAC